AGAGAGAGACCGTAGGAGACACATGACACAGAACTGCTTCTAACCAGTGTGAACTTATGTTGTCATATTGGGATAAATATTCTGGTTTTGAGAAATTAGGGGTAGAAATGATAACTTTTAAGTTTGCTCTGCTTTCTTGCTGAACTGCCCATCTACCACTTGAGCTACACCTCCAGCCCTGCTTTTTGCTGGTCATTATGGAGATGAAGTCTCCAGGACTTTTCTGCCTAGGTGGACACCTGAGTGGTTAGTATTACAGATGTGATCTACTAGCTCTGGCTGAGAAATCCCTTTAAAAGTCTGGGAGATAATATTCCACTCTTGCATTTGTATCTTTAACACAAAACTGTCTCATTCTGTGCATTGTTAGTAATGATTTCCTTCTGCTTTGATATAAACACCCCATTTGTAACATTGTGAGTCAGACTCTTGGTGAGTTACCACAGCAACAGAATAAACTTTTGGAGCATTATTGCAGTACTTGAAACTTAACAGTTTCATAATAATTTGAAATGTTACAGTGAAACATGGAGCTGATAGAACATATCTTAAAAAGCAGTTATAAATTCAGAACAGAATCTCATTTCCAAGTAGGCTTTTGAGAATGGTTTCATTTTTATGTCTCTCAAGCTGAGTGTAACGGTATATGCCTGTAATTCCAGCAAGTTTAAGACTAGTCTGGGTTATGAAGTGAAATTTTGTCTCAAAACAGCCATCAGAAACTATTCACATTGTAGTGATTTTCTAGTTTCACTTTTTTCTTTGTAGTGGTTTGAACTCCAGGTCTAGAGTAACTAGGATTACAAGCGTGAGCCACTAGTGCCTGGTAGCAGTTTTCTTTTCTTTTTGGTGCTTGTATTGCAGCTTGAACTCAGGGCCCCCAGCAATGTTTCTGAAGTCCCAGCTACTCTTTTTTGAGGGAGGGGTCCAGTCATGGGGCCTGAAGTCTGGGCCTGAGTGCTGCCCCTTAGCTCTTCAGCTCAAGGCTAGCACTCTACCACTTGAGCCACAGCTCCACTTCCAGCTTTTTTTTCTTTTTGCTTATGTGGTGCTGAGTAATGGAACCCATGGCCTCAGGCATGCAAGGCAAGCGCTCTACCACTGAGCCACCTTCCCAGCCCCACTTTTTTTTTTTTTTTTAAAGCTCTATGTGTGTGTGTGATCAGCAAGGTTTGACACCCTCTGGTGCAGATGTGGAAAATTCTTTTCCTTATTCAGATATGCATGCATGAACAGAGTATACACTGTTTGTTTTGTATGTATGTGCCAGTCCTGGGCTTGAACTCAGGGCCTGGATGCTGTCCCTGAGCTTCTTTTGTTCAAGGCTAGTACTCTTTTTTTTGGGGGGGGGTCATAAATCCACTTCAGTCCTATCTTCTATTTAAAAAAATTAATGTTTTTTTTATTGTGAAAATACTGTACAGAGGGGTTACAGTTACATGAGCAAGGTAATGAGTACATTTTTTATCAAGCATTGTTGCCTCCTCCTTTGTTTTTCCCCTACCATCCCTTCCCTCCCACCTCCTCAACTACACTCCCTCCTTCCCTCTCCCCCCTCTTCAGCCACAGTGCTACTTCTGGCTGGCTTTTTCTCTTTATGTAGTATTTTAGGAATCAAATCCAAGGTTTCATGCATGCTAGGCAAGCACTCTACCATTAAGCCACATTCCCAGCCCCTCTTATTTTGTTTTTAAAATGTTGCTGCAAAAAAATTGAAGCATTAAAGCCTGGCTAGCTACTCAGGAAGCTGAGATCCGAGGATCGCAGTTCAAAGCCAGCCTGGGCAGGAAACTGTGAGACTCTTTATCTCCAGTAAGCCACTCAGAAAACTGGAAGTGGTGCTGTGGCTCAAGTGGTAGAGTGCTTGCCTTGAGCTGAAGAGCTGAGGGAGAGTGCCCAGGCCCAGAGTTCAGGCCCCACGACCTACAAAAAAAAAAAAAAAGAAGAAGAAAAAAGCAGTATACTACCTTTAATCAGAACTAATGAATTCTTTTAAATCTTGATTTGGAACTCAAAGACAAATGCTTAGTATCTACAGGTCTTGGTGTGTTTTTGTTGTATTTTGTTGAATTTGTGAATACTTGATCACTGACTTTATTAGTCTAGCCAGAAAACAGAAAATTGACTAAGGAGTAATTATTAGGAATAAAGTGTTATGAAACAAACAACTGCAGTATTCTGGGGTTAACTTTGGTGTGGTTGTTCTTTTGGGGATATTTACAGAATACCCCATAATTGTCTTGGTGTATGTATATATGTCTGTGTCTGTGTGTGTGCCAGTCCTGGGGCTTGACTCAGGGCCTAGATGTTGTCCCTGAGCCTTTTTTTTTTGGTCAGTCGTGGAGCTTGAACTCAGGACCTGGGTGCTGTCTCTAAGCTCTTCAGTTCAAGACTAGTACTCTGTCACTTGAACCACAGCTCCACTTCTGGTTTTCTGGTGGTTAATTGGACTTTTCCTGCCCGGACTGGCTTTGAACCGAGATCCTCAGATCTCAGCCTCCTGAGTAGCTAGGATTACACATGTGGGCCACTGGAATCCAGCTTTTTAATTTTTAAAATTTAATTTAATTTTTGTTGGTTGTGGGGCCTGAACTCTGGGCCTGGTAGCTGTACCTCAGGTCTTCAGCTCAAGGCTAACGGCTCTACCACTTGAGCCACAGCACTACTTCCAGGTTTTTCTGCTTATGTGGTGCTGAAGAATCGAACACAGTGCCTCATCCGTGCAAGGCAAGCACTCTACCACTGAGCCACCTTCCCAGCACCTTTTTTTTAAAAATCAAAGCTAGTGCTCTACCACTTGAGTTACAGTTCTACTTCCTGTTTTTTGGCATTTCCTTGGAGATGAGAGTCTCATGGTCTTTCTTGCCCTGACTGGCTTTGAATTACAATCCTCAGATCTCAGCCGCCCATGGAGCTAAGGATGCTGGCATAGGTGAGTTTTATGTCTTGAAAATTAGCATCTTCCAAAAGGCATTCAGCTTAAAAAGATAAACTGCATATGTAGGACTTGCCCCCATTTAGCAAGTCAGCCAGTCACAGACAGACCATCCTTACAAGCCTGCTTCTGCACCATGTACCTCTGCTCATTTTACACTAGGCAGCTGGAGCTGAGCCACCAGCCTCATTGTCCTCTAGTTGTTGCCAGTATACTGAATTAAATTTTAATTGAAATTAAGACACTTAAGTGTAAAGCAGAACCACTGAAGAATAGCCATGCTGCTGTCTTGAGTGTGTACTCCATGTCCTCTGCCTTTTCTAACTTCACTTGAGGAAAACATCTTGAATAGATTTGCGTAAAGCCTTGTACATATGTTGGAGGCCTTTCACAAAGTAAGCCACTGATGCTTTAAAATCAGCTGTTGTCAGTTCTGTGTGATTCCCGCAGAGACACTAGAGGAGGAGCCTTTGTGGGTCAGGCTCAAGGCCGTTGTGCCACGTAGGACGGGACCCCTCCCTCCATCTTAGATCTGATAGCATGTAAACCCACCTGCACTCCTTGCCTTCCTTGTGGCCTGCCAGTCCATTTGGAGACCTGAAGTTTCTTCTCACATCTATTCCCACTGGGCAGAAAGACCTGAGGTATGCCTATCCTTCACCACAACAAAACTACTGAAAAGTAGTTTTTAATCTCTTAGAATTATATTTGTTGGGTACCAGAGGCTTATGCCTAATCCTAGTTACTCAGAAAGCTGAGATCTGAAGATTACAGTTGGAAACAAGCCTGCCTGAGAGACTCTTTATCTCTAATTAACCACTCTAGATCCAGAAGTGGTGCTGTGGCTCAACTTGGTAGAGTACTAGCCTTGAGCAAAAGAGCTCAGGGGCAGAGCCCAAGCCATGAGCCCCACAACCAACCAAAAAGAAAAAAATTCTTTTCTTTCTTCTTTTTGCTTGGCATCAGTGGGCCTAATACTCAGCAGGTTGAGATCAGAGGATCATGGTTCTAAGCCTTCCCCAAGCAGGAAGATCTTATCTCCAATTAAAAATCACAGAAAAAGCCAGAGGTGGCACTGTGGCTCAATTGGTAGAATGCTAGCCTTGAGCAAAAGGAGCTCAGGGGGAGTATCCAGCCCCAGGACTGGCAAAATAAATAAATAAATAAAACTAAGAAGTTGTACAAAGAGGTTCCAAAAGTCAAGTTATGAGTACAGTGTATTTTGATTACTTGTCTCCCCTTCCATCATTTTCCCCTCTCCCATCCCTACCTTCGAGTTACATAGTTCCATTTTTACATAATGTACATTGAATATAATGACTGTTTTGCTTATCCTTTTTACGACCTGGAATGAGCAAATTGTCTTCCAAATGATAACAACTTGCACTTTTTTTGTGTGTGCCAACCAATCTTGGAGCTTGAACTTGGGCCTGGGAGCTATCCCTGAGCTCATTTTCTCAAGGCTAGCACTTCAACACTTGAGCCACAGCTCCACTTCCAGCTTAATTGGAGATAAGAGACTCATGGGCTTTCCTGCCCAGGCTGGTTTTGAGTGGGATCCTTAGATTTCAGCCTCCTCAGCCTCCTGAGTAGCTAGGGTTACAGGTATGAGCCACCAGTTCCTGGCACAACTTACACATTCTTTTTTTTTTTTTTTGGGCCTGGACGCTGTCCCTCAGCTCTTCAGCTCAAGGCTAGCGCTCTACCACTTGAGCCACAGCACCACTTCTGGCTTTTTTCTTGCTTATGTGGTGCTGAGGAATTGAACCCAGGGCCTCCATGCATGCAAGGCAAGCACTCTACCACTGAGCCACCTTCCCAGCCCCACAACTTACACATTCTTGACAAGATTAAAGAACATGGAGCCAGTGGCTCATTCTATGCAAGAAATGATCCAAGTAGCCATGATTTCAGGCTTAAGCTACTTATACCTATGGAGATCTGCGTGTTACTGAAGTACTGCTGCAGTCCTTATACTTGGTGAAAATATACTGTGTCTTACTCATTATTATGGATTTAATGTTAAGAAGTATTATGAGAATTTAAAGTATTGCTGCTTGTTTAGAATAAAAAATCATCTAATTCTGACCCCTGTTTGCCCAACAGGAAGCCAGCAGACCTGCAGAACTTGGCTCCTGGGACCCACCCACCATTTATAACTTTCAACAGTGAAGTGAAAACAGACGTTAATAAAATTGAGGAATTTCTTGAGGAAGTCTTATGCCCTCCCAAGTGAGTATCCAATCAAATTGCATGGGAATACTGCTGTCTCTCTGAAGCTTTGTCTTAGTTGTCCCCAGAGACTGTTCTGATGGCACTGAAGTTAAATACAGCATTGATTTGAGATGATCAAAAGTATCTTTTAAATGATTGACCATTAATGCTACATAGCTGTCAGAATTGATGACTTCACAATCATTCCTACAAAGATGTCAGAATTGGTCTCTTGCTAGGCCATTAGTAAGCCATACTAAAGAGGATGGGAATCTGTAAGCAGGAAGAACATGATGAAAGCAGGTTGGGGATGTGTATGACACACCAGAGAAGAATGGTCATTTGTGGGTTATTAATCTCAAACCAAGGGAGTTTGTGGAGAAGAGATGAGGAAAGATAGTTCCAACTAAACCCAGCCCAGAACCTCTGCAGGTGGGTGGGACAGCCAGCCATGGGGTTTGCCCTCAGTGAGTTTATGGACAGCTTTCTGGAATCCAAACGGGGGGGGGGTGTTGATGTCCCGTATTCTGTTCCTGGGAGTCACATTTACTTAGCTCTTTGAGACATCCAGATCTAGAAGTTACACATGTACTGACCATGATGACAGTTTCCTAAATTGCAGATCACAATTTTGTATCCTACTGTAATCTTGGCAAAGGTTCAAAGCATTATTAATTTCTTTCAGACTTTGCAGTGTCATTGTCCTGAAAACAAACGTGTTCATTTCCTCTGACCCAAGACTTTCTAGTTGATTTGACTTTCACCTTCCATGTGTAGATAAACTTCACAGAAATGGGTTTATTGGGTCAGAGCATTCTAAACTTAGTTGCTCAATATTTATCCATTCATATGCTCATTCATTCATTCATTCTGTAGGCAATGGTAACTAGACAGCGTGGCCACATAGTGACTAAATTGAGCAAGCAGAGTTGGAGGCAGGGACTAGTGAAGAAAGCATTAGAGAAGAGACAATACAAAAGCCAGCCTTATTTAAACTAAGAAAAGTGGCAGTTGGCAAAAAGTGACCCTCAGTGGGTGAATGAAAGACTAGCAGACATCTTAGGACAGAAGATTTATTTTGGATAGGTTGTTTGTTTGGAGGAGGGTAAGCAGGAAGGCTGTTATGAAGAGAGTGAGTGAGCAGGTCATCCTGCCCTGAATAAAACTGCCTTTCCTTAGTCACTACCTAAAATTGTGTTCTCTTCATCCTTGTTTTTTTAATGCTAATTCTAAAGGCTTGCCCTTGTCCCTGAGCTCTTTAGCTCAAGGTTACAGCTCTGCCACTTTTGTGTGTGTAGTTCTGAGGCTTGAACTCTGGGCCTGGGCTCTGTCCCTCAGCTCTTCAGCTCAAGGCTAGCGCTCTAACACTTGAGTCACAGCGTCACTTCCAGCCTTTTCTGTTTATGTGGTGCTGAGGAATCGAACCCAGGGCCTCATGCATGCAAGGCAAGCACTCTACCCCTGAGCTACCTTCCCAGCCCCAGCTCTGCCAGTTTGAGCCACACTGCCACTTTGAATTTTCTGGTGGTTAGTTGGAGATGACTCTTAGTATTTTCCTGCTTGGGCTGTCTTTGAACTGTGAACTTCAGATCTCATCCTCAGGAATAGCTAGGATTACAGGTTAAGCCACCACCCCCTGGCCTCTCTAATTTCTTCTTTATCTCTACTTCCTGGAGTTCTAACTTCCTGAAGTACATTCAGACCAACATTAATGCAACTGCAAAAATTTCCCCCAGCCTATGCATTAACTCGAATACTACTAGATCAAAACTGAGATCTAGCTGGGCGCTGGTGGCTCACGCCTGTAATCCTAGCTACTCAGGAGGCTGAGATCTGAGGACTGCAGTTCAAAGCCAGCCTGGGCAGGAGAGACCGTGAGACTCCTATCTCCAATAAACCACCAGAAAACCAGAAGTGGCGCTGTAGCTCAAGTGGTAGAGTGCTCGCCTTGAGCTGAAGAGCTGAGGGACAGCGCCCAGGCCCAGAGTTCAAGCCCCACGACCAACAAAACAAAAAACAAAAAAAAACCCTGAGATCTTTGTAAATTGTAAAGGGTAGCTTTATGTATCTGTGGAGATGTTAGGAACACACAATTCAACACAGTAGAAATAACTTTTGAAGGGTGTTATGACATGTAGCCCACTAGATCCATTTTCCTCCTCTTCCTCCTCATCATTATTTTGGAATGCCTTAATCATTTTCTTTGAATGAAGCTATGGTTTGAGCATTTCTAAAGCACTTATTATGTAAATTATTCCAAATATATTAAGTTAAAAAAAAAACTAGCTGGGAATGTAGCTCAGTGGCAGAGTGCTTGCCTTACATGCATGAAGTCCTGAGTTTGATTCCTCAGTAACACATAAAGAGAAAAAGCCAGAAGTAGTGCTGCGGCTCAAGTGGAGGAGTGCTAGCCTTGAGCAAAAGAAGCTTAGAAGTGCCTAGGACCGGAGTGCAAGCCCCAGGACTGGCAAAAAAAAAAAAAAAAAAAAAATCAGTGTAGCTGGTAGCATAAATGCCACTTTAAGTTCAACAGACATTTTCCTATGTTCTCTTATAACCTTTGACAGCAACAAAATCAAGAAATTTTACTCTTGTTGTTTTTCTCTGAGAGGGACTGACATGAAGAGAAATACTAATATCAAAATGTTTGGATTTCCTGGCCGTTAGTGATTGGTGTTTTCTCTTTTCTCTCTCTTTTGAGACCTAGCTCTTGCTATGTAGCACTGGGCCTTGAACTCACTGTCTTCTTTGCCCTAGACTCCTAAGAGCTGAGGCCATACTCATGCACCAGCATATCCAGCATGCTTTTTTCTTTGATCCTGGGGCTTGAACTCAGGACCTGGGTGCTATCTCTGAACCTCTTCATGTTCAAGGCTAGTGCTCTACCACTTGAGCCACAGGGCCACTTCTGATTTTTTCTGAGTAGTTTATTGGAGGTAAGAATCTCACAGACTTTCTTGCCTGGGTTGGCTTTGAACTGTGGTCCTCAGATCTCAGCCTCCTGAGTAGTTAAGATTACAGGTATGAGCCACTGTGCTTTGCTTGTCTATATGGAAACTTCACCTCTGTTTTAATTGGACTAGTTCTTACAGATACAATAACCAAGTATAGTCATTTTTTTCAGTTTAAACGTTTGGAAATCTGTTATAAATTGTTCAGAATGTGCTAAATTCTTTCCAATGATTTTCCTTTTTTTCCCCCTCTACTTAAAAAAAAAAATGAGCTGTGGTTTATATTCTATAGCGAGTTACAGTTCACTTTTTGTAGAATGGATTCTTCCTGATTTTGCCCAGGCCTCTGTGGTTGTCAACAATGCTAAATGTGCTAATTCTGTGCCCTATACTGCTCTTTTGATTTTTTTTTTTGGGTCAATCCTGGAGTTGAACTCAGGGCTTGGGCACTGTTCCTATGCTTCTTTTACTCAAGGCTTGCGCTCTACCACTTGGGCCACAGCCTTTTCTGTGTATGTGGTACTGAGGAACAGAATGCAGGGCTTCGTGCATGCTAGGCAAGCACTCTACCACTAAGCCACATTCCCAGCCCTCTTGATTCTTTCATGCATTTTCTCAGCCCTAAGAAGTTCTTCATGAAGAAACTGGAAATGAGTTTTCCAAATAGTTTGTTCAGGGGTTCACTGTTAATAATATCAGGTCAGATGACATTAAAAATGCCTTTTGGTCGGGTGCTGGTGGCTCACACCTGTAATCCAGCTATTCAGGAGTCTGAGATCTACTGATCACAGTTCAAAGCTAGCCCAGGCAGGAAAGTCCATGAGACTCTCCAGTAAACCACCAGAAAACCAGAAGTGGCGCTGTGGCTCAAGTGGTAGAGCACTCACTTTGAGCTGAAGAGCTGAGGGTCAGCACCCAGGTCCAGAGTTAAAGCCCCCCCCCCCAAATGTGTCTTTTACCTGGACACTGGTGGCTCACATATAATCCTAGCTATTCAGGAGCCTGAGATCTGAGGTTCACAGTCCAAAGCTAGCCCAGGCAGAAATATCGTGAGACTTCTGTTTTTCTGGTGGTTAATTGGAAATAAGAATCTCATGACTTTCCTGACTGGGCTGCCTTTGAACTGTGATCCTCAGATCTCAGCCTCCTGAGTAGTTAGGATTATAGGCGTGAGCTGCTACCACCTGGCAAGGTGTAAGTCTTTAATTGGGATTTTTTTTACAATGAGTACAGGTGAAGTTAAAAGTAGAGAAGAGAAATCAAAGCTAGATGCTGTGATGAGCAAGCAAGACAGAAGTGGCTGTCAGCAATTCAGCAGATGCTTTCAAAACAGGCCAGGTTTGACTTCTGATAAGAAAGAGCTACTTTGCCAAAAACCTTGAAACTTGGGTTTTAATCTGAACTGCACCTGGCTAATGTACTGATAAAAGGGCAGAGTAAAGGACAACAAGTAAATAGAATAGATAAATTTAGATGGCACTAAAAATGCTCAGCCATTAAAAAAAATTTTAAGACAGATAACAGGCTGTATAAACAGACTTTCTCTTATTAACATGAGAAAGAAGAAAAGATCTGAGCCTTTTCCTAAGATGATGGAAATATCTCTGCTAGCTTGCAATCCATAGTCTATGATATAAATCAGGGGTTGATCTGGGAATCAAAACGTTCCAGGTGCTCATGTCTGTTCTGTGGCACACAGCCTTTTATGAGTCCTTTCTCTCCCATACTCCAGATGATCAATTGAGAGCTCACCGCAGTTGGAAATCACTGCTTGGCCAAGCTGTTTGCTAAAGCTAATAATGGATGAATTTGAATCTTGTGTATCAGAGACTTGCAAAGAAAAAAGTTGGCAACTGATTTTGGAGGTGGTAGTGTAGAATTTGAGTTATCTGTTAGATCCTGCTCTGTGGCACGGGGACAGGAACTCTGTGTTTCAGTTTCTGGATACTTTTAGCTAGCTGGGTGACTTTGTGAGCTAACTATTTAAGCTTCCAGGAGGTAAGTTTCCTTTTAAGCAAAGTGAGAGAATCAAGGCAAGTGCAGGTACTCTGTCCTTTATAGTCACAGCACATTTGATGACTTTTCCACTTCAGTCTGCTTAGAGAACAGGGCTCTTTCAGCATTTTGAGAGTATCTATTTTATTTTATTTTTGGGTCCGGTTGTGGGGTCTGAACTCTGGGCCTGGGCGCTGTCCCTCAGCTCTTCAGCTCAAGGCTAGCGCTCTACCACTTGAGCCACAGTGCCACTTCTGGCTTTTTTCTTTTTGCTTATGTGGTGCTGAGGAATCGAACCCAGGGCCTCAGAGGAATGCAAGGCAAGCGCTCTGCCACTGAGCCATCTCCCCAGCCCCAAGTATCTATTTTTAAACGAGTAAAAAATGCAAAGGCTGGATGTGGTGGCAACTGGTAATCTCAGCTCTTAAGGGAGGCAGACATTCAGGGAGGAACGTAGTTTGAGGGCAGCCTCCGCAAAAAAGTTAGTGAGATTCTCCTTATCTCAGCAAATTTAGGTGGGAGGATCTCAGTACATGGCCAGCCCTAGTCAAAAAGTGAGAGACCTTTATTTAAAAAAATAAAGAGAGATGTTGGTGCCGGTGGCTCACGCCTGTAATCCTAGCTACTCAGGAGGCTGAGATCTGAGGATCACGGTTCAAAGCCATAGGCAGGAAAGTCCGTGAGACTCTTATCTCCAATAAACCACTAGAAAACCAGAAGTAGTGCTGTGGCTCAAGTGGTAGAGCGCTCACCTTGAACTGAAGAGCTGAGGGACAGTGCCAAAGCCCAGAGTTCAAGCTCCACGACCGACCAAAAAAAAAAAAAATAAGAGAAAGAGAGAACAAAGGCTTGATCCCACGTGGTAGAGCATCTGCTGTCTGATTTCACTAAAACTAGGTTTCTAGTGGGAACACTTGTATTTGTAAAAGTGGTAAGTCGCTTCTTATACACAGCAGTTAGTACCATGCCTGGCACACAATAAACAGTTACAGGAATAGAAGTTTTCTTAATTTAGGAATGAGGTGCCGCTCACTGCTGCTTGGACTTTTGTTGGTGGTGGTGGTGGTACTCATGGGGCTTGAACTCTGGGCCTGGGCGCTGTCCTTCAGCTCTTCAGCTCAAGGCCAGCACTCTACCACTTGAGCCACAGTGCCACTTCCAGGTTTTTCTGCTTATGTGGTGCTGAGGAGCCGAACCTAAGTTCTCATGCATGCAAGGCAAGCACTCTACCACTGAGGAACGACTTGCTACCAGGCCTGCTTTACAAGGAGTGGAAGCTTTGCAGGGAACTTGGCTGCTGCGTATCAGGGGATGAGCAGGGGTGTTGAGTCTGGGCCTTGCTTGAACTCTTCACCTCAGGCGGGTGTGAGAGGGCACATGCATACATTTAGGTAAAACTCATTACATTATTAGTTCCCCCAAAATGATACAATTACTTGTGTTTACAGGGGAAATCTTTATGATTACAAATTGAGAGATAGCTAGAGCTATTAAAAAGAATGAGAGCTAATATGTAGGTGGTCAATGGATATTTTATTTGTTTGTTTGTTTTTTTGGGTCCAGTCGTGGAGCCTGAACTCTGGGCCTGGGCGCTGTCCTTCAGCTCTTCAGCTCAAGCCTAGCGCTCTACCACTTGAGCCACAGCGCCACTTCCGGCTTTTTTCTTTTTGCTTATGTGGTGCTGAGGAATCCAACCCAGGGCCTCAGGCATGCAAGGCAAGCGCTCTACCACTGAGCCACCTTCCCAGCCCCTCAATGGATATTTTATATCATCCTTACCAATAAAGCATCATGCTTGATTTCTAGAAGCTCTGTTTCTTCCTGAATTCAAAATAGTAAGCAGGAGAAATGTGTTTCTTGCTGGGTACTGGTGGCTCACGCCTATAATCCTTGCTACTCCAGGAGGCTGAGATCTGGGGGTTACAGTTTGAAGCCAGGTAGGAATGTCGGTGAGACTTATCTCCCTCCAGTTAACTACCAGAAAACTGGAAGTGGAGCTGTGGTTCCAAGTGGTGGTGCTTTAGCTTTGAGCAAAAGAGCTTAGGAACAGTGCTCAGGCTCACAGTTCAAGCCCTAGAACAGGAAAGGAAGGAAATAAGGAAATGTTCGTTACTGTTGGAGCCCTCAGGATAGTTGGCGACATTGCATTTTCTGTTGCTAGTCGTCCCCCTCCTCCCCTCCACTGTGGGGCATTTCACACATGGGTTGTGGGAGGGCAGGTGCTTTCTGTGTAGGATCTGTGGCTCTTCCCTGTCCAGGGCTCAGCACTGCCAGCGCTGGCTGGACTCTGTACTAAGGATGGCTAGTACAAGCAAACCTCAAGTCCTTACCTTGTTTGATTGGATTCTTTGGTATTTGTATTGAGATACTTTAGGTGCAGAACATTTTATCATCCCAGCTGCCTGTAGGATGCCAGCGCCCTGAGCTGAACTCTGCACAAGTCCACTGTCCCAGTAGTGCTGCCTTTGCCAAGTGGAGGTGGAGTGCGGATGCCCTTTGACTGCCAAGAATCTTAATGCATGAACAAAACATGGGCAGAGCTCTATTTCCTAAGGAAAAAACACATTTAAAAATAGCACAGAAAACAGAGGAAGACATTTCTTAGAGTAATAACTAGTCAAAGCTGTCTGGGAATCCAGGCGCTGGTGGCTTATGCCTGTAATCCTAGCTTTTAAGGAGGCTAAGATCTGAGGATCACAGTTCAAAGCCAGCCCAGGTAGGAAAGTCTGTGAGACACTTATCTCCAATAAACCACCAAATCCAGAAGTGGCACTGTGGCTCAAGCGGCAGAGTGCTAGTCTTTTTTTGGGGGGAGGGGGGGTCGGTTGTGGGCTTGAACTCTGGGCCTGGGTGCTGTCCCTGAGCTCTTCCACTTAAGGCGAGTGCTCTACCACTTGAGCCACAGTACTACTTGTGGTTTTCTGGTGGTTAATTGGGGATAAGAGTCTCACAGACTTTCCTGCCCTGGCTGGCTTTGAACCATGATCCTCAAATCTCAGCCTCCTGAGTAGCTAGGATTATAGGCGTGAGCTACCAGCACCCAGCTTAGACTGCTAGTCTTGAGCTGAAGAGCTGAGGGACAGAGCTGAGTTCAAGTCCCATGACCAACAACAAAAAAAGCTGTCTGGTCTGGGCACTGATGGCTCACACCTGTAAGCCTAGCTACTCAGGAGGCTGAGATCTGAGGATCATGGTTCAAAGCCAACCCGGGCAGGAAAGACTGAGACTCTTGTCTCCAGTTAACCACCAGAAAACCGGAAGTGGCTCTGTAGCTCAAGTGGTAGAGCGCTCACCTTGAGCTGAAGAGCTGAGGGACAGCTCCCAAGCCCAGAGTTCAAACCCCATGACCAAGCCCATGCCCCCCCGCCCCCCCCAAAAAAAAGCTGTCTGAGAACTGCTGGTACAATCCTTTATTGATTAATGTACCTGGGAGGTCTTTATAATCAATTATCACCTTTTACATTTAGATACTTAAAGCTTTCGCCAAAACATCCAGAATCAAATACTGCTGGAATGGACATCTTTGCCAAATTCTCTGCTTATATCAAGAATTCACGTCCAGAGGCTAATGAAGGTAAAAAGCAAAAAAGTTGAATTATCATTGGGGGAAAAATCAGATAACAAGAATTTCACTGTGACAGTGATTATAAATAAAAATTTTGGAGTCTAAGCATGACCATAGTATTAAAAAATATCTTTCAGACTTATCAGATAAACTGGAAGGACTTAAATTGCTGGGTTTCTAACTAGTACACCACGGGGCTGGGAAGGTGGCTCAGTGGTAGAGTGCATGCCCTGCATGCCAGAGGCCCTGGGTTCGATTCCTCAGCACCACATAAGCAAAAAGAAAAAAGCTGGAAGTGGCACTGTGGCTCAAGTGGTAGAGTGCTAGCCTTGAGCTGAAGAGCTGAGGGACAGCACCCAGGTCCAGAGTTCAGGCCCCATGACCGGACCCCAAAAAAAAAAAACCAAAAAAACAAAACCAATAACCTGGGTAGTAGGTTTGTGATAAGATGTTTGTTACATATTCTCTTTAAGTTTTCACGAAAGGGGAGCTGCAAAGAGTTAAGGTGAATCAGAATGACAGCATGGGGCTCTGGGTTCAAACCCCAATACTGCCCTTTCTCCCTAATGACTGTGGCTATGGTGGTTTGACACAGTGACAGAAATAAGCCTCTGCTTATTGGTAGGGTGCCCGCAGCCTACAAGCAGCGAGGTGCTTTTTCTGTGCACGTGTGCGCACACGTGTATATGTGTATGTATGTATGTTGATTCCCTTTGCAGAGCAGTTTGGTGACTGGTGATCCTTGTTACTCAGGAGGCCCAGATCTGAGGATCACAACTTGAAACCAGCTTGGGCAGGAGAGCCAGCCCCCCCGGCTCTTTAGTTAAAAGACAATTTTAGTATTTCATTTACCACACTCAAGTCCAGTGAAGGAAGAGGAGTGTTTGAGCTCAGTCCCTATCTCTTCACCACGCTGCCTGCCAACTGCCCGTTTCTCTCTTCATGGGTGGAACAGCGCTCTTTCTGGGGAGCCCTGTGCAAAGAGTATGTACGACAGCCACCCTTGGCTTCCAAAAGGGTTAATTCGTGGGCTGGGAACGAGGCTTAGTGGTAGAGTGCTTGCCTAGCATGCATGAAGTCCTGGGTTCATTCCTCAGTACCACATAAACAGAAAAGGCCAGAGGTGGAGCTATGGCTCAAGTGATAGAGTGCTAACCTCAAGCAAAAGGTCAGGGACAGTGCCCAGGCTCTGAATTCAAACCTCAGGACTGGGAGAGGAAAATCGTTAGTGTTAGACATTTGGTTGGTAGCTTGGAGGATTCTAGAAGTTTCTGGAAGTAACTAGCAATGGTACCAAGCGGGGAGTCTTGATGTTGGTTCATAAGAACAAATACTTGTGTAAAAAAGTGAAACACGGGGCTGGGAAGGTGGCTTAGTGGTAGAGCGCTTGCCTTGCATGCATGAGGCCCTGGGTTCGATTTCTCAGCACCACATAAGCAAAAAAGAAAAAATCCGGAAGTGGAGCTGTAGCTCAAGTGGTAGAGCGCTAGCCTTGAGTTGAAGAGCTGAGGGACAGCGCCCAGGCCCAGAGTTCAAGCCCCATGACCGGACCCCCCCTACCCCCCCAAAAAAAAGAAACACTTGGCAATTTCCTTTTGTTATTTCAGCAGGCAGACTTCCAAGCTGTCCAGGCTATTTTGTATTAACATTTCAAGCTGGGCGCTGGTGGCTCACGTCTGTATCCTACTCAAGAGGCTGAGATCTGAGGATCATGGTTCAAGGCCAGCCTGAGGCAGAAAAGTCTATGAGGCAGTAATCTTCAGTTAAAACTGGAAGAAGCAGCGTGGCTCACAGTGGTATAGTACTGGCCTGAGTGCAGAAGCTCAGGGACAGTCCTGGCCCTGATTTCAAGCCCTATGACTGACCCCCCCCCAAAAAAATGCAGTATTTTATAATTTAGTGTTAAAGTTCAGTTTCTTTCACTCTTGGGATAACTTCCATTGCATGAGATTTTTTTTTTCCTACAGTGAAAGAAAAAGAAAATTTTGTGTCCAGGCCCGGCTTGCATCTATTTCTATAATAGGTCCCAGTGGCTGCTTTGGTTTAGAAGCAGTTTTCTTTGGTAATTGGCTGCTTTTCTGCCTAATTTGTACTCTAACTCAATAGTTGTGTTGCAGCCGCTCCCACCACAGGCCTCGCTGCCGTGGCCCTCCTCCACGCCGCCACCCCTCCCCCCACCCCACGCGGGCTGCACTGTGCTTCAGCACAGAGCTCTTCCACTCTTCAGGTCATAAAGTTTGTTTCCCTTTTTGGCTTCTGAGGGCTGGAGGGTGGTTCAAGTTTGTCTGACACTCAGGGAAGGGATGGGAAATGGGTTTTATTTCGCTTTAGGGGACGAGGGCTGGGGAGGAGAACATGATTCATTTAAGTATAACTTGGCATTCTATTTTTTCCCTACCAATTTCTACCATCTGAGGTAGCCACCTACACTTATGTCTCTGGAGTGCTGTAGCCAATTAGAACAAAGGACATAATGGATACCAGTGATTCACTTAGAAGGCTTTGTATATGATGACCTATTGGTAAATAAGAATTCTAGTTGCCAAGCAACTTTCCCCACAGGGACTTGAACTGTCTTTAGGGACTTTAGAAAACAATATTTGGAAGCACTTTGGAGCTTCCTCGTGTCCCACAAGTCTGTTTGGTGCTGTTCTCTGCCTGTTGGTTTAGGGCAATGAAATGCCTTCAGTAAGCCTAGACGTTGATAGTTGCACAGAGATGCCACTGTCATTTTACATGATAAAGGAGAGTGGACATCCTTTTATCAACCAGCTAATTTATAAAATTCAGCATGTTGGATGATATTTGGGGGCGGGGAGGAGGCAGTTGTGGGGCCTGAACTCTGGACCTGGGCACTGTCCCTCAGCTCTTCAGCTCAAGGCTAGCGCTCTACCACTTGAGCCACAGCGCCACTTCCAGCTTTTTCTGCTTATGTGGTGCTGAGGAATGGAACCCAGGACTTCATGCATGCAAAGCAAGTGTTCTACCACTAAGCCACCTTCACAGCCCATGTTGGATGATTTTAAGACATTTTGGAACCTGTGTATAGTCTGGAATTAGATGTCTGGATGTTGCAGTGTGGGCTAGTGAAGGCAGAACCTGGATGGATGGATGGATGGATGGATGGATGGATGGATGGATGGATGGGGTGTGAAATTATAATTCTTTTGCCAACAGGTCTAGGTTGACTGGGAATAAAAGTTTATGTAATCTTGAGGCATTTAAAGAGTGAACTAGTAATTCCTTTTGTAGAATTGATTATGACCTGTCCCCAGATCTCTTTTTCAGTTCAGTGATTTTATTCATAGAATTTACTAAGTAGACCTAGTCTGTTGGCATTTGGCATTGCTATTTTCTCTCTCTTTCCCTCTCTCTCCCTCTCTTTCTCCCTCTCTCTCCTCTCTCCCCTCTCTCCTCTCCCCTCTCCCCTCTCTCCCCTCTCCCTTCTCTCCTCTCTCCCCTCTCCCTTCTCCCCTCTCCCTTCTCTCCTCTCTCTCCTTTCTCCTTTAGTGCCAGAATTTGAACCTTAGAACTTGGTCCTTGGCTCACAGCTGGTGCTCTACCACTTGAGCTATGTCTCTAGTTCACCATTTTGCTGCTTAACTGGAAATGTGGTCTTGTAGACTTTCCTGCCTGGGCTGGTTCTGAACTGTGATCTCAGCCTTCTGAGTAGCTAGGATTACAGGCATGAGCCACCAGTGCCCAGCCCAGATTCCTATTTTTAAATGCAAATAAAGAATCTGTAGGTTCTGATTAGTCCTTGTTACTCAAGATCCCTGTCTCCTCTTGCTTTCTCACTTACTCTGGCTTTCAGGTGGGTTGGGGGGGAGGGTTTGGTAGTGAGAATAGTTCATCATTGTAACTATGAAAGTGCATTGTGTATTTAATCATCTTAATACATTATCAACTTTCTCCAATTCTGATAAATAACTCAGCCTGAAAAGGTTGCTCGGTGTTTGGCTCAAGTGGTCTGTTGTCTGTTTAGCAAGTGCAAATCCCTGAGTTCAAACCCTAGTACCCAGTTGGGTGAGGGTTATTCATTTTTTTGGTCCTGGGGCTTCTCTGGGCCTGGGCGCTGTTCCTCAGCCCTTCCGCTCAAGGCAAGTGCGCTGCCACTTGAGCCATAGAGCCACTTCCAGTTTTCTGGTGGTTTATTGGAGATAAGAGTCTCACTGACCTTCCTGCCCAGGCTGGCTTTGAACTGTGATCCTCAGATCTCAGCCTCCTGAGTAGCTAGGATTACAGGCATGAGGATGGCACCTGGCAGGTTTATTCTTTTTTTTTTTTTTTTTTTTGGTCTGGTCATGGGGCCTGAACTCTGGGCTTGGGTGCTGTCCCTCAGCTCAAGGCTAGCGCTCTACCACTTGAGCCATAGTGCCACTTCCGACT